GTGGAAATTTACTTGTCCATTTTTTCCTCTTTTTTTTTTTTTTAAAAAAATATTAAAATTTAAATGTTTCCAATTAATTTCATCCAATTATTTATACATATTTTTGCATTGTTTGAATATGTAATAAAATAAACAAATTTTGAAATACTAAATTGAAAATAAAAAAATTGAACAATTCTTATTAAAATAAAGTAAAAAATAATCAAGTGGTAATTAATGGAATTAAAAGCAAAAACTGAGAAATAATTTATGTATTGAGGATAAGAAAGATGACAAAGATTTTAAATCGTTATATACGTTTATTAGTATTAAAATTACATTTTTACAATTTTTTTTTTGTAAACAATCATATTATTTTTTTATATTCATATTAATAACGTAATTTCATTGCTAGAAATTAGTTGAAAAATTAGTTTTGTTAATGTGATGATTTCCAGTATCGATTATTTTTTAAACTATTAATTCTAATTATGTTCATTGATTGTGAAGAATGAAGAGAATTTATTGCTGAAAATGCCAATTTTTTTACTCAACTAAATAATCTCATTCAAGTAAACAATACTAAATTGTATTTTGAATAACATTCACACATCAAACTATTATCATAACAATTTTATCAGTTAGCATATTTGTAGACAAATATTAAAATTCAGAAATGATACCCTTTTTTTTTTTTCATAAACAACCTTATTCAAGTTCATTTTCTTTTCTTTTTAATTCCAACTTCTTCTTCGTTTCTGCTTCTCCCTCTTCATTTTCTTTCTCTTTTTCCTCTTCTTCTTCCTCTTCTCCTTCTCTTTCTTTCTCATTTTCCTCTCTCTTTTATATTGTCCTCAAAAAGTTTTAACTCTTTCTATTTCTTTTTCAATCAACTTTCTTCTTAGTTTATTTGAAAGAAAAAAAAAAAAACCACTTTAATGTATGCCTTGAAAATTAGCAATTTTTCATTTTTTTTTTTTTTTTTTTATTCTTTCACTGTTATTCATTGCAACCAATATTTCCTGAATAATGCACTTTTTTGTTTTTTTTTATGTTTTTTTTTTTTTTGTTTTTTTTATGTTTTTTTTTTTGTTTTTTTTTCTTCAAGTTTAGTCTAAAGTATTATATACAAAAAAAGGAAAAAATTATATCGTTTTTTTTTTTTTTTTTTTTCAAATAGTTAAATTTTATTTTAAATTATATTTAATCTAAGATTAATTCATATTAACAATGCAATTTAGAGTAATATGTCTGTTCGTTTTTTTTCCTTGCAAAATCAGTTGTGAATTTGATAAATTAAACATCATTTATGCATTTTTATAAAAATTTGAAATGAATTAAATTTAATGGAAAAATTTTCCTCAACAAATTATTTTATCTTATTGTACTAACAAATTAATAATTTTAAATATGAAAGATTAAATTTATAGGAAACTGTTTGAAAAAATAAAATTAATAAATGCTTAAATAAAAAAAAAAAAAAAAAAAAAAAAATGAGAAAATAAAACGAAACGAAAATAAAATTAATAATAGGATGATAGGATAAGAAAAAAAAAAATTTTGTAGTTACATTGTGTTATGTTTTTTCTTTTTTTTCCGTTTTTTTTTTTTTTTTTTAAAAAATATTGTATATAAATTTTTAACATAAGTCAATGGTTTTTTTCGAGAATGATTTTGACAAGAAAAATACAGTTTATATAGTAACAAAATGATTTTCCCATCATTCCAAACCACTGATTCATATTATTTGAGCATAACGTTGTAAATACAAAGCCACTTTTAAACAAAAATACTTTTCAACAATTTTAAAATAAAATCATTTAGTTATGTTAAAAAATGAATAATTTAAGCAGTGAATGAAGAAATTTCTTTTTAGAAAAATAAAATAAAATAAAAAAAAAAAAAAAAAGAAAGCTTTCAAAATGCATTTATATGCTTTAGTCGAAGCAAACAAAATTCGTCAATCATTGAAATTGTCACCTTCACTCTTTCCCTCTCTCCCCCTCTCTCTCTCTCTCTTTCACCGTCTCTCAGTCTCTTTGTTTCATTTCTTGAATTTAAAATTATAAAAATAAAATCTTCTTAATTTCTCATATATTTAACTTGATAGTTAATTGTTGCTTTATTTCTTTTTAATGCTTATTAAATTTTTCAAAGTAATGAAATTGTGCATCTCAACTGCTAACTAAGTTTCATTACTGTAAGAGAAAAAGATGCTGAAATATTTGAAAAGATTGATCATGTGAAAATGCATTATCTAAAATTGGAGTGATATGATAATAATAAAAATGGTGTTAATGATGATAACGATGGCGATATTAGTGATAATGATAATGATGATAGTGATAAGGATAATTCGCAAGGATTTTATTGGTATTATAGAGATGTGAAATTTCACCAACTAAAAAATATCAAATATTAATGGAAATGAGAGAAAAGTTTTGCTTGTTATCACATTGATTGTTATGATAAAATTTTAGCAAAAAAAAAAAAAAAAGAGGAGAAAAAAGGAAATCTGTTATTAATAGACTAATCGAAAATATAATCCTTTTCCTTTTTCTTATGATTTAGCTTATAATTCCACTTTTTCTCTTTCTTTCTTTTTGATTGATTAATTATGAAAAATAATTTTAAAAATTTAAATAAATATTGTTGAAATTTTATGAATGTTTATAGAAAAATAATTGAAGATGATAAAGTGGTAGAGTAATGCAAGAAATTATAATTATTTTGAATGATAAATTAATGAACATGAAAATTAATTATAAAACTTTGGTAGTGGTTAAAAAAAAAAATTTCGTTATTTTTGATTAAAAAAAAACAAAAGAAGAGAAGAGAGGGAAGAAGAGAGAGAGAAGAAAAACCGAACTTTCATTACTTATACTTTCCTTTTTCTTACTTTGTTGCGATAATCTGCGAAAAAAGGAAAAGAGAAAAGAATTGAAAAAAAAAAAATGCAAAACATTTTGCGACCATCTATGTGCGCAAATGCATTATTAATAAATGTTTCATATATTAATGGTCATTTTTTTTTCTTTTGTTCCTCATTTTTACTAATACTATCAATAATTTTGCAACTTTAAAGTGAAAAAATTAGACAAAAAATGTTGATTTTAGTCATAGTTCTTATGATAAGTTCAAATATAACCAAAAATATGGTCAATTATCATTATTTCAGATCAATTGATCATATTGCTTCACCACATAAATTGTACTTTAACTAAAATTTAATAGCTGAGCAACTTATCACTACAAAATTTTGATATTTGCTAACAGTAACATTACATAAACTCTGTCAAATATTATTTGCCTTTTACAAATACCACTGAATGATTTTACTATCAATTTATTATGATAAAAAATAAGTGTTGGTAAAAAAAGAAACAATAAATTATTACTAACAAATCACTAATAGTAATTAATATATAATAATAATAACAATAATAATGATAATAATAATAACAATAACAATAGTATAATAACAATAATAATAATAATAATAATAATAGTAATAGTAATAGTGTGTCAACAATCATATTGGTAGTTGTAATAATGAATTTTTGATGCAGTCAAATGTAAATAATTAAAATAGTTCATTTCTTCTATTAGTGAAACGTTCATTTCATTCAGTCTTGTGCATAATTATTCGTCATCTTTTTCATCATCTTGTTATATATTTGCTTTTCTAGCTGTTTAATTCTTTTTTTCTTTTTATTTGTCAATTTAAATTTAAATTTGGTGTTTATTAAATTGGATTTTTTCTTTGTATATTCAAACGATAGATGATGAAATTAATTTGTTTGATTATTCTTTTTTCCTTTTTCTCTTCACTTTTTTTTCTTTTAACTTAATTTTATGTTTTCTTTTTTCTTTTATAATATAATCTTTGAAAGAATTATTTAACACTTTCAATCGTATATATTATTGTGAGAGTATATAATTAAATTACAATAATCAAAAAAAAAAAAAAAAAAGGTTTTCTTCTTTTTTCTACCAATTCATTTTCTCATGCAATTGCTTAGCTTTATGTCATTTGAAAAATTTTCATTGTTTTCCGTGTTTCTCTTTTTTTTTCTTTTCCCTATTTCTCCGTTTTCTACTTTTTTCTTTTTCATTCTCTCAGCACTTTTATTTTTTATTTTAAAAATTTGCTTTCATCCTAATTTTTTCCTTTCTTTTTTTTTTTTTTTTAACTTTCCATCACCGAAAGGATTTTTTGATTTTGAGTGTTAATCACAATTGAGAACATCAGCATAATTAGGCCATTGAAAATATTTCATATAATTATTTTGTGAAATAACGATTGTATTCATCATTGAAATTTTGATTTTCATTTGATTGAATTGTATGCAATAGCTTCTTTTTCCTACTTTTTGAAAAAAAAAAAGATAGATCTATTTCTGTTTGATTTAATTCCTTATTTCGACCTTCAAATTAATGATGTGTTTTGATTTTTGCATCATGCGAAATGCTATTTTATGATTTTATTCTTTTCATATTCGTTTTTATTTTTATTTTTTTAAGAGAAAAAAAGTAGGAGAAAGAATTAGGGAGAGAGGGAGTGGAGGAGAGAGGGAAAAGAAGAGGCTAGTAAAAAAGAAATAGAAGGGAAAAAAAACGAAAAGTGATATGTGATTAAAAAAAAAAAAAAGAAAAATGATTGTGATTTGAATCTGGGAAAATGTTTCGATCACTTATGACAACCAAGAAAATAATTTTGTGGAACGATACGAAAGGTATCTAAATCCATTGTTTATTCATTGTGTCGAGATTAATTAATTGGAAGCAGTTAACTTTTCATAATATATTTAACTCTTTTTTTTTTTTTTTCAGAAGCAAAATTCGAAAGATACAATAGTAAATTTTATAATAATAGTAATAATAATAATAGTAATAACAATAATTTAATGATAACAACAATTGCAAACAATGATATATATTATCGAAATGTGAATGTTATGTGATATACATTGTATGAGAATATTAAACGAAAATCTTTGGATATAAATAATATTTCATATATGGAATTGTCATATAATGAAAATGATCATAAATTGATAATGCGAAATACCACAGATGTATCAAATTATGATAAACTTTATCAACCACAACGTGCTCTTTTTGCTATTGGTTAGTTGTTTAATTCATGCAAATTAATACGATTTATGCTAACATTGATGAGATAAATTTTAAATTTATATTAATAATTTACTATAATTGGAATGTAAGAAGGATTCCTTCCTTATTCGATTAAATTTAACAATTTGCATTAACAATTTTAGAGGGATTTTTGTTTTTGAAGATTTTTTTTTTTTTCATTTTGTTACATAAATTATAATGAAGCACTAGTGATACATAAACATATATTATGTTAATTATTTTAATATTTGTCATTAAAATAAGCTATAAATTTGGTTCATATAAATTATAATCATGGTGTTTTGCTGGATCGATCAATTTGATATCATTTCCTAAATAATAGTTTTTAAAATGATCAAGTGAAAAATGACTGGATCATTAAATTGATGGATGATCAGTGAAAAGATATTTCGCATTTATTTTAGAAATTGGTAGATTAAAAATTGCTACCAACTGAAATTAAGCTAAAGTTTTTTCAAGAATTTGAAATAATTTGAATCGATATTCAATAGCATTTCAATTATTAGTATCATAGAGTATCACATTTTACCTTCTTTCATCTCTTTTTTGTTCTCTTCTTCAATATGATAATTTTAATGTTACCTATCCAAGTAAACTTATCAGTATTTCATTTTTGCTTCTTTAAATGTTTATAATATCACTGATAAAATGAGCAATACTTTATTAATATTTCAAAGTAAAAAAAGAAAAGAAAAAACTTTTATTGCTCACAAATTTTTTTTCCATTATACTTTCTTCCCTTTTTTCATCCTTTTTTTATTCTTTTATTTTTTTATTTTTTTTTTTTTTTGATAGATAACTGATAAATCAAACAGATGTATATAACACATTATATAAAAATCGTTAGATGGAATATTTTATTCATCATTTTAGTCATCATTTGTTATTCTAAAAAATCCTTTTTATGCTAATTAACTAGATCATCGCGTATAATTTCATTAAATTCTGTAATGCAATCATTTATAATGTAGGCATGTTAGGATGAAAATATATGTATATATAGAAGAGAAGGGAAGGAATATTAAAAAAATTAAATTAAAGGATATTTAAACAATTAAATTAATCTAACAAAGGATAAAGGATGCAAGAAAATACAAAAGGAATAAAAAAATTTGTGTCAAAATGGGTCAATTATAATTTTTAGTTTTTAGATGATAAAAATTTGTTTTTATCATATTATTTGCTCTATTATATTTTGATTCAAATGCCTTTCAAATTGATACTTTTGATAATGCTGTAGTGATATTAAAATGAATGATACCTAAAGATCTATAATGTAAGGAGGAACAAAACAACACTAATCAAGATACTTATTTATGATGAAGTACTCATTAAATATTTATGATGTGAAGAAGTGTTGATTAAATTCTTATCTAAAGGAAAGTAAAAAATTTCAAAATATCGTCATCATTATTTTTTTTTTTTTTTTATAAAAAGAAAAAAATTTATAAGTATAACTTGATTAATACATGAAGTGATATGTAAGTTTATTAGCAAACTGATGTTGATAAGTGGAATTTTATCATTTCTAAATTTTTGTTGCAAAAAAACATTGGAAATTTGAGAAAAAAAAAATTTAATTTTTTCTTTTCCATCCCCTTTTCTTTTATTAAAAAACAAGAAGAAAAAAGAAAAAATATTTGATTGTATTAATGTATTTGTACATCAATTAATTATTAATTAATTGTTAGTATAATACTCATTTAAAATAATTTCCTCTACAACAAATTCTTTCATTCATTTATTCATTCATCAAATATTTCGTACCACGACAAGCTTTTACATTTGACATATTTTAATGAAAATGCTTAGTAGTATGTTTCGTTTTCAAAAATATTTTCACATCTCGATCGCTATGCATTTTTCTTGCTGTTTAAAATTCAGAAAAAAAATTCAAAGCTGAAATTAATGAATTTAATTTAAAAAGAAATGCTTCAGTGCTTTAGTGCAAATAAACTTTAAATAGAAAAAAATTCAAAAATTTACTTTTTTTAAAAAAAGAAATGTTATATGGGTTACGCAATAATTTAGTAATATGTTACTTTGATATCCAAATAAATAAGAAAATCAGACTTTTTTTTCCTTACTTTCTATTTCTTTTTGCAATTAAAATTTTCCTTTTGATTGAAATATTTTAAAATATATTTTAGTTTTTATTTTTTTGAATGCACTAATTAGTATGTTTTTAATAATTATTATCGACTGCTGAAGAAATTATTTGTGTTTCATTTACTTAATTGTTGATTTGCTTATTTGCTAAGCAAACAAAATGCTTATAAATAGATGAATTGTTATTCAGCACTTTTATTTTAAACATAAAGTTCATACACACTTACTTTAAACCTTTTTGTTTGGTACTCTTATTCGATTTATACAAAACATTGCGCTTTATTACATTTCTGTTTGTACTGCCAAACAGAAAACAGCCAACATTTTTTGGCGCCATTGGCTGACCTTTGACCTTTAGATGAATGAATTATTCAGTAACAAGCAGCCAAATATATACATAAATGAGATTCACAGATTTATTCATATTTCCAGTTAGTTTATTATCATTTCAAATTTTTATTCCAGAATTATAAACTTACATTATTAGAATTTAATTAGCTTATTTTGGAATAAATAGTATTTTACAATAAAATAATGCTATCTGTTTATATTATTTTCAATTCAACATTCTTAAAAAAAAAAAAAACCGTTCTTTAGAAAAAAAAATTATTATACTAATCGTTTTAATAATAAATACATCCATTTAATTATCTGAAATAATTATGATTTTATTTTCTTTTCATTTTTAAAAATTTTGTAACTCTTAAAATGATCATTTTATATCTTTTTCTTAACATTTTGCAATGAAATAATGTGGAAGAATTAGTAGGAGAATACTAAATATTCAGATCAACTAATGTTCAATTATTTTTTGCTTTTTTACAATAAACAAATTTAAATTTCCGACAAAATCAAAAGAAGGGGAGAGAGAGAGAGAGGGAAAAGTGATTGATAATTAATGAAGCTATAAATGATATGACTCAAAGATTAATAAAGATAATTGAAATTTAGGTTAACAAATATAGTATATATTCAGTATTATTGATCATATCATTATCAGAACTATGTCAACAAAAGGTTATTTAACTATCAGAAATCCTACATAACCAATATAATCAGTGATAATTGATAAATGTAAGAATGTTTGTTGAGATAAAGGATGGTAATTGAGTAGAAAGAACGTATAGTTAGTAACATAGAGTAAAGAGGAAGAAAGAAATAATCAGTAATATTTGTAATTGATATGGACATTGGTCAACCGATATCAATATTTTATATTAATGGTATGCTATTTAGTAATTCCAAAATTTTTTGATCTTTTTTTTTTAATTTCTTTTCTTATAATTTCCGTTTTTTTTTTTTTTTTTTTTTAAGTTTAGCATATTGTTTATACATATGCTTATTTTGTCAAACATTATGCTTTTTTGTCTTTTCAGTTTAATCAATTTTATTTTTAATTGCTTAATTTAATTGTAGTTTCTTTTTTTTTTTTTTGTTCTTCAACAAAAAATAATTTATTTCAATTACTTCACTTATTTCTATTTTTTTTTTCGTAAAGAATTTTTGTAAAAAAAAAAAAGTGTATAAACATTGAAATATAACTAATAAGTTTTTTTTTTTATCTTCCTCTTTTTTTATTTCATAATGATTATTTGGGCGAACAAATTATTATTTGATATTTGTTTAATTATGCATATTATATAGTTATTAATAATTATTACTTTATTCATAATAAGTAGATCAATAAGAAAGATGAAGAAAAAAGAAATCCTTTATTATTATTATTTTTTTTTTTGACTTCTAGTACCAAAGTGTAATAAACAAAAAAGAAGAAAATTTTTGATCAATATTATAAAATATTTATTACATTGCTATACCCACTGATTTATTTTATCATTGATATAATCAAAAAGAAAAAAAAATTTTTTTTCAAATGGAAATTCAATTGTATTAATTACACATAAAATGTGGTTGTTAAACAAAAAAAAAAAAAAAAAAAAAAAAAAGGAGAATGCATAAATAGTTTTAAACTTTAAATGTAATTTAAATATGTTAATAATTTTTTCTTCTTTTTTTTGCTCATAATATTTGATTGTAATTTTTTATCAACGATTATAACGGTTGTTTAGTTTTAATTGTTCAAAAAGGAGGAAAAAGGAAAGGGAAAAAGATGGAAATGATTTAAAAAGAAGTACTTTCAGCAAAAATTATTTCAAAATTTTTAGTCAATTTAAATTTTTTTTTAATTTAAAAAAATATTAAGATTTATCACTTATCACTTTGCAGGTGGTATGTCATCCGATCTATCAGTTTCATTAGACACAGAAACATCCGAATTGGAATTAATTGAGAAAGATTTAGCATCCACTCATTATGCTACAAATCAACAAAAAATTCTTCGTCCATTTTATTCAACAACCAAACGTGGCAGTGGTAAAAAAAAAAAAAAGAATTATTCATTATTTTTCATTTCTTTTTTATATTTGAATTAAAATTATTTGAAAAAAATTATGCTAAAAAATTAGTTTAATGCAAAGTTTTATTATTTCGTTAAAAAAAAAGAAAAAATTTATTTCTATTTATCTTTTGCTTTTTTTTTTTTCATACAAATTCCTAAAATTTTTTTCTTTCCTCTTTTTTTTTTTTTCATTTTTAGTGAGTAAAATCATTTTCAGTATAAATGATTGATCGATAATATTTTGAATTAATTATATGCTATGTAACCAAATAAATAATAATCAACAATAAATTATTTATGTGAGAATATGAAAACTAATGTAAATTTATATAGAACGTTGAAAATTGTTTGATTGATTATTTATTTGTGTTTTTTTTTTTTCATATTTTTAGGAGCTTTTAACGAAATGATATCATCGCAGTCTACGGCATCACCAACTTCAGTCAATATCATAGATAATAGTGATAACATAAAAAAGCAAATTCATAATAAAGTATTATCTCTTATTTTGATTATCATAACTTTTTTTTTTTAAAGTATATGATGTGATTTATTTTATCTCGTTATTGTAAAAATTATAAAATATAAGTATTATTAGAGAAAAACAGAAAAAAATGAAAGGAAAAAAATAAATAAGCATATATATATATGTATAACATATCACTAAATTATATCAAACAATTTCTAAAACAAAAAGGGAAGCAAAAAAAAAAAAGCGAAAATATTTGTTTGGGTTTTAAAAAAAAATGAAAAAATTAAACGATAAAAGTGTTAATGTAATGTTTGAGAAAAAACTGCAAGCAAAAAAAAAAAAAAAACGTTTATATCATCATTTTAATTTGTTTGCTAAAATTAAATAACTAAAGAACCTCAAAAAGAAACAGAAAAAAAAAGACAAAAATGAAAATGAAAAAAAAGCTTTGAATTAAATTTAGTCATTTAGGTTTTTGTTGAACTATATGATTTGGATTTGCAAAAGAGTGGAGAATGGACAGAAACTGCTCGATGGATTAAGTATGAAGAGGTTTTATTTTCTATTTTTTTGAAATATTTAAAATAAAGGATGTAAATTTTATCAGTAATTACTTAATAAATTTTGACTGTGCTTTAAATTTTGTACATATTCAATGAACACTTTTAAATCAAAAAATTTATCAATATTGTAACAGTAATTGGAATTAAAATTTTTTTTATTCTTTAACATGAAATTTGCACTTTTAGATTAAATAAAACTTCTTAAATTTTAAGTTTTACTTGTCATAGATAATATCAAGTAGCTAATTTTGATTTATACATTTATATTGAAATTTTATTTAGGATGTTGAAGGAACAGATCATCATTGGGGTCAACCACATGTCTCATTCCTTTCATTTCATGCCTTACTCTCTTTACGAAAATTTATGCGAACAGGTTGCACATTCTTTAATCAAATAATTCCTTTCCTTTCTTTCTTTTTTTTTTCTTCTTTAAAATATATTAACAAAAATCAAATTATTTATTTATAAAAATTTCAAAATTTATAAAATGATATTAACTTCAAAATATGTACATTTTTTTTTTTTAAATTTCAAGGATCAATTTCATAAATGTAAGTGTTAATTTTAGGTATGATTTTACTTGATTGTAAGGCGAAAACATTTCTTGATATTTGTGATCAAGTAGCTAATGCAATGATTTCGGAAGGAATTACTTGTAGAAGACGTGATATAATGCAAATTTTAGCAATGAAACAAGCGTAGGTTTATATTATTTTTGTTTAATTTTTTTTTCTTTTTCTTTTTTTCTTATTAAATATTGAAAGAGATGGAATTTTGTTGGAACGATTAATTTTAAACATTATTCAAGTAACCGTTTCAAAGAAATTTTTAATTTTCAGTCAGCATACCGAGATTTCCCTCATTTAGACATCCATTACCACGTCGAATGACTGCGCTATCATTGGCTGGTTCAGTGTTTGATCGACGTCCTGAATGTAACTTAATAGGATCAAATACGTTGGATAATGCTAAATTACGTATAGGTATTAATATCAAATTCTTTCTTTCTTCTCTTTTTTTTAAATCATTCAAAAAAAAAAAAAAAATTTCACACTTTATACTAAATTTTCTTTTTAAAGTAATAAAAAAAGTGTTTAGAATTTGTAAGGAATATTTTTATAAATTAATTTTTAGATTTATTGAAACGAGAACATTCATTTCAAACTTGTAATATACGTAAGCAACCAACGATAGCTGAAGAAGTTGATGAAATGGAACATGCTGCATTAACTGAAATACAGGATATACCAATTAGTGCCCTCAAACAACAAAGGTAAATTCTCTTCTATTTTTTAATTTTTATCGCTATGACAGTTTTTTTTTTTTTTCAATTGGATAATTTCAGTTCATTAATTCTTTTCCTCTCTTTTTTTTCTATTTTTTTTCTTTCGCTTATTTTATTTAAAATATTTTAGCTTTCCCAATCTTCCGGCAATACCAGCAGTTCAAGAAAGATTATGTTTAAATCCAACAAAACAATCTACGACAGCTTATTTCATTTCAGATTCACTAGGAAAGTATGTATATTATTTATCTCGAATTATATTCAACAATTATTGTGTTTATCAATTATATATTTATCAGATATCAACAAATCGAATTTGTTAGTCATATTTTTTTTAAAAAAAAATAAAAAAGAATGAGTGAAATGATTTTTAGAGTTAGAACACATTCATCGGAAATTCATAAAGGTGAAGATATCTTGAAAAAACTTCCGGTTGGTATCGAAACGGCACAGGTTTAGTTTTTTTCTTTTTTTTTTTTTCCTTTTTTTTCTACTTTTTTAGAAAAAAATTGTCATGTTTTGGTACTTTTTTTAATTCTTCCTTTTTATTTTTTACCATAGGAAGATTGCATCATTTCAATTTAAAATTTTGAAAATCAATGAAATTTAATTGTTTTTAAATTTATTAGTAAAATTCTTTTGCTACTATTTTTTCAGATTTTTGTTGGTGTAATTCCAAATTTAACAAAAACATATTTTGTTATGCTTCGATTAAGTGAAGCAACAGTGATGCCGGAAATTCTTGATGGTGAAGTACCGCTTCGTTTTGCTGTAGTGATTTTAGGACCAGGTCAACCGGATGTTAGTTATCATGAAGTGGGACGTTCCATTGCAACATTGATGACAAATACGGTTAAATTTTTCATTTATTCATTTTTCTGTCAAATTATTTTTGCAATAAAAAAATGCAAAATTTAGACACAGAAAATTTTCAAATTATTATATTTAATGAGCCAAAAAAAAAAAAATTAAAATTCTCAAAAAATTTATTTTAAGGAATTTAATGCTATTGCATATGAGGCAAATGTTCGTGAAGAGCTTATCTGTGGTGTGGATAATTTTTTGGATGATTCTGTTGTTATTCCACCCGGTGAAATTGATAACAAACGTTTATTGTCTGGTGATGAAATTCGAAAAGCATTGAAAAAACGACAAAATCGACGAAAAGTTACAGAAGAAGAAAGTTGTATGTTTTATTTTTTTTTACTTTTTTTTGAAAAAACAAAATATTAATTAATTTTTCCTTTTTTTTTTTTCTTTTGGCTAAATTTTTATGATTAGAAATTATATGAATGAAATATATGTTTTATATATTGTCTTTTTGTTTTGTTTTGCTTTTTGTTTTGTTTGCTTTTCTTTTTTTCAGCTTCACCACCAAAAAGTGAGCAAAAAAATGACATTAATTTTAAAAGACACTTCGAAAAAAAGGAAAAATGTCGATTTTTTAGTGGGATGATTAATGATTTTGAAAAACGATTTCCTTATTATTGGTACGTAGCATTTAAAACTTTCAATTATTATATTCAACTAACAAATTTTACAGGAAAAAAAAAGAGAAAGAGAGAGAGAGAAAGAGAGAAAAAGGGATAAAAAAAAAAAAGAAAAGGAGAGAAAAGAAAGAAAAAAGTCAAAAAGATCCACAAAATATCCACGTCTTTTGGTAGTTTCCACAACGCCGTAATTTATATCATTTGATTGCGTTTACTGTCTTTTTGCAGTCATTTGGGAAATTTCCGGATCAACTTAAACTGATGATAAATGTGCGCTCAGAATATGAATGTAAGGCGGAAACAGGAAAAGACACACTCCAGCCGCCAATGAATAAATTTTAGGTCTGATTATCGTGATGCGCTCAATTTTCAATGCCTTACAAGTGTCGTATTTATGTTTTGTGCCAGTTTTGCTCCCGCAATTACATTTGGTGGTTTATTAGGTAAGTTTATCATACATACACATACAATATGATTAGATTATCTAATTATTAAGTATTCTATTATTAATACCATTGAGTATTTGATGTTACGCTTAAAATTTCAAAACTTTATTTCTTTATATTTTATTAACAACAAAAAAAAAAAAAAAAAAATAAAATAAGAAAAAAAATGACAGTATTAATTTAATTACCTGAAATTATCGAACTGTTTTCAGGCAAATATACGAATGAAAAAGTTGGAATACTTGAAACTTTGATGGCACAATGCATTTGCGGTGTACTTTGGGGAATATTTGCTGTTCAACCGCTTATGATTATGAGTGCAACAGGACCAGTTCTTGTTTTTGAAGTTAGTCTATATGCGGTAAGTTATTTTTAAATCAATAATTTTACGAATTTTAATTATTAAATTATAAAATGTTTAGTACAGTTATTTTAATTAATGCATATAATTGAAAAGAGAAAAAGTATTTTCATTATAATTTATTATGTTTATTCTCTTTTTTTTTCTTTACATATTTTAAAAATTTATCATATAATTTCATCAATTTTTTCTTTTTTTTTTTTTTATTTTTCTAGTTCTGTACTAATCTAAACATTGATTTCCTAACGGTTCGACTTTATGCTGGCTTATGGGTGTTAGTGATTTCAATTATTACTGTCGCAGTTGATGGATCCAGAATGTTACGTTATGTGACACGTTTCACTGAAGATATCTTTGCTTCATTAATTTCAGTGATATTTATTGCGGAAAGTTTACGATTTCTTTATCAGGTATTGAAATATACTATTGTTATTTTTGTCAATTGCTGTTATTATTAATTTCTTTCTTCCTTTTCTTTTTCTTATTATTTATCATGAAAATTTCAACTCTTTTTGTTTTTTCTCAGTAATACTTTAAGTTTCATATACAGATTACAATTTTATAAATGAACTTGCTTAATTAATTAATTAGCTAACTTTTTTTTAAATCTTATTCAGACATTCATTCATAATCCAGTTGCGAATTTCGAATTTTATCGACATATTCGTCAAAAATGCGAACTAAATGCTTTCAATGGAGAAAGAAACGATTCACAAATGATGTCAATTTGTAATGGTGAACCGAATACAGCTTTATTAACCACCTTTATTATGATTTCTACCTTTGCATTAGCATATGGTTTAAGACTACTACGACAAAGTTACTATCTGGGAAGAACGGTTTATAATTTTCACTGATTATTTTAGCAAAGTATCACAAATAGAATTTTATTTGTTCATATTAAAATTTTGTTTATCTTTTTCAAATTTTAAATTTATCTTACAAAATTTCTGTTGAAAAAAAATTTAATTAGTCTTTTTCCTTTTGAAATTCGTATTTTTTTAGCAAATAATTTTTAGCTTCGACGTGCACTTGGTGATTTTGGTGTGCTAATTGCAATTGCAGTAGTTGCAAGTGTTGCACATCTGTTAGTTCCAGATCCTTATTTACAGGTTAATTAAGATTTCATTCCAAAAATGTTTGATTCTTGTTGCAGTTAATACTAATTAGTTAATTTGTTAAATTTATATTGATTTTAGCGTTTGGAAGTACCAGATCATTTTAGCTTCACTAATATTGAAGCACGACAGCATGGCTTATTTGTTTCTGCATATTTACCATTAAATCAATTATGGGTAATTATAGTTGCAATTGTTGCAGCACTGCTTGTTTTCATACTTTTATTTGTTGAAACTGAAATTACTGAGTAAGTTTACAAATGTTTGATTTTATATCTAACATACTTACCTGATATTCTATAAACTAAAGTGCCTAAGACTTTATAAGCAAGTTTTGTTTTTTTTTTTTTCGTTCGTTTGTTTGTTTTACTATTATTTTTTTTTAAAGATTAATTTTATTAAAATTATTGTAGATTGTTACTATCTCGTAAAGATCGTTGCTTAGTGAAAGGAAGTGGTTTGCATTGGGATTTATTGCTAATGGGTGCATGCACATTGCTTTGCAGTATTTTTGGTTTACCATGGATGTGTGCTGCTGCAGTACAATCATTAGCACATTGTAGTTCACTTTCAGTTCCAAAAAAAACTGCACCTGGTGAACGACCTGGTATAATTTCTGAATCACTTAATTGATCTTTTACAATGATTGTATTATCTATCTATCACCTTTAAAGTGTAAGATTAATTCAATGATTCATGCAAATTGAACGAACAATGTGAATTCGTCTTTTATCATTTAAGAGAAGTGATAAATTTTAAATTAAAATTTCTTTATAAAACATTTATTATTCATTTTACATGATTAGGTCTACTATATTTTCTTCTTGTTTGTTTAATAAACATTTATAGCAGTAATTATATAGTTTAATTTGAATTTATTCTTAATTTTTCGAGTAACAATTAACTTTTGCATAATTTGAATTCATTATTAGTTTGTGATTTCAGTTATCATTTTTATTTCATATTTGTTAATGCAGGAGTGGATTATGTTCTGGAACAACGTGTTACAACAATTGGTGTATCATTGTTAATGGGATTATTTGCTTTTGGTGGTTCATATCTACGACTTCCATTGGCATCTTTATTTGGTGTTTTCTTATATTTAGGTGTTATGAATCTTACAGGTGTACAGTTTGTTCAACGAATTATTCTTTTCTTCATACCGGGAAAGTATTTTCCTGACACACCGTATACTGAATCGGTAATTGAATAGTTTTAATATATTTTTACTATTTTAATTTGATATTACTTAAAAGGAAAAAAAATTAAATGTATAAATAAGATTTTTTTTGCTTTTTGCTGATACATCCTATATTGAATTGGTAATTATTTTAATACATTTCTATTATTTTGCTTTAATATTATTCAAGTTTTTTTTTTTCTTTTTGATATATTAATATGATTATTTTTTTTTTTATATTCAATTTTATATTACATATGCTTTTGTTAAAAAAAAAAAGGAAAATTTTAAATCCATTTCAATCTTTTTAGGTAGATATTCGTCGAATGCACTTATACACAGCTATACAAATAATATGTTTAATTATTATTTATGCTGTGAAATACTTTAAACGAACTGCTCTTGCTTTTCCATTCATTTTGATGCTTTTTATTCTATTGAGACAATTCTTTCTTAAAAAAATTTTCACTGAAAAAGAACTTAAAGCGGTAATTACTTCTTCTTCTTCTTCTTTCTTTCTCTTGTTATGTAAAAATTTGCAGAAATTCTTCTCGAAATTTTTTGATTACTTTCTTTTTTTTTTTTTTTTTTTTTAGCTCAAAGTTGAATTTTTACCATTTATGCATTTTCTTTTTTAGATACTAAAATTTTTAAAATAATTGTTTCATTGTTATTATATATTATTCTTTTCTCTTTCTCTCTTTTTTTCAGTTGGATGGTGATGATGAAACAAATAACGAAAATGGTTGGCTAGAGAAAGATTTTTTCGAAGATGCACCATTACCTGTATAAAGAATATTTGGTTATATTTTCAATAACAACAATGATAATATATCAATAGCTTATCAGTTCCATATCATATTATCACCTATTGATGTTATCATAATATATTTGTCATTCATACATTCCATATATTTAAATAGTTTTTTTTTTTTTTTTTTTAAAAAAGCACATAGCTTATTTTTTTTTATATCTATCTTACATTATGCGGCATTAAATTTTATATGTATGTATACATCATGAAAATTTTATTTTATTTCGTGCTTATTGTACACATTAATGTATTATATTTTACACTATCCATTTCATGTAATTAATTCCATTACATTCCATTTTTTTCACCTCTTTCTTCCAACCTTCTCTTTCTCATTCTCATCAACAGGTTTTAATTACCATTTGATGAGCAATTATGTTAGTTTTTTTTTTTTTTTTAAATTTATTTGAATTCATTGCTGTAATAAATGTACTGCTGTTTTAGTGCACCGGAAAATTTTGTTTCTAATTCAGTAATGATAGGATGTGTGATATTTGGAAATTTTTAAGGCGCTATTTTTAAAAATAAAAAAGTCAAATTTGCTGAAATTATATTTCATTCTGATACATTTATTTATTTTATATAAATGTGAATCACATTTAATCATCGAATTTCTGTTACGCATCTTCATTTACATTAAGCTTATAAGCCTTTCTAATAATTTATTCAAATCAACATTTGTGCCAATATGTTTATAAGCCTATATAATTTCATATATTCAATTGTATTTCATTTTATACACGGGTATCAAACAAAATAAAAGCTTCATGTAAACTAATCATATTGTTGGCCATTATCATAACACAATCACTGAATTAAACTTAATTTCAGTATTTTGTGATATTTATAAACTGATTAAATCATGTGCAACTTAAAAAAAAAAAAAGAGGAACTGAAAGTTAATTAGAAATTAGTTCAATTTTAAAATTATTTTTCCACGAATTTTCATCTTTCTGTTATTTTTTTATTTATTTATTAGAAAATATATTTGAATCAAATTTGTTTTTCTTTTAAATTAGATAAGAAATGAATTGAAAATGAAGAACAAAAAATGCTTGTACTTTCATGCATTATAGAGTTCCAATTTGGAAAAATAAAAAAAAAAAAAAACTGCTGACAGTATTGTTAAAATTACTTTCATAACGTGAAAATACATTTCAAAAAAATTTTCCTATGCTTTAATCAATAAAATTACACATAATGCATTGTAGGTTCTAATTTGAAAGAATAAAATTATAAGCAATAATATAGTGAAAATTTTCTCTAAATAATTTAATTTAATTAGTGTTAAATTTTATATGGCAAATGTTGGAAAATATTTACTACCATTTTATATAAAAAAGCAAAAAAACAAAAACAAAAAAAAAAAAAAAAAAAAACGAAGTTATCACAAATTCTAACATTCAGAAATTACCACAAAATTATTACACATTTAATGCAATGAAATTCATTTCATTATTAAAATTTCGAATTTCAACAATATTACTGAAAAAGATTTTTGGCTCAAATAAAAATTTTTTAAAAGAATTATTTCATAGTTGTTTGTTTAAATTATAAGATCTAAATTTTATTTGCAATTATTTGTATAAAAAGAAATGTTGTTAACAGTAAATGTACTACTGACAATATTGTTAAAACTTACATCCAATAACGCTTTTTTTTTTGTTAAATTTTATCAATAGTACTAGTTTTCTTTCCATTCTTTTTTTTTTTTTTTTTTTTGTTTACATGTAAAAAGAAAGTACATTAAAAATAATTGCGTATTTATTGAAATTTACTATAGCTGTAAGTTATACGATTAACCTGTTTTATCTACAAACTTGTTTATAGATAAATATGATGATAAATAACTCGTACACTTTTTTTTTTCTTTTTTGTTATTCAAGAATTAATTATTAGTGAACAAATAGAGAATTAAACTGTTCGTTTCAGATTAATTAATTTAACTGGCATCAATTATTATTTATTATTGTATAATGAAATCAGTTTAAAATCTGTTCAAAATGGCTTTTTATTGGCCGTAAATCATTTTCACAAAAATGGTAGTTGTGTGATTGTTAGAGTTATTATTACTGTTTGCTTTATTATTGTTGCTGTCGTTGTCATAGTTACTGTTGTTATTGTTTTAGTTTTTGTTATTGCTACGGATTTTATACTAATTTCATTAATATTGTTGTTGTTATAGTACATAGTTGCACAACCATTAATTAGTTTGATTCTAAAGAAGAATTACTGATTCAAAAGTCAATTTTTTAAAAGTGTGGAAAAGGATCGAAAAAGAAAAAAGAAATGAAGTGAAAAAAAGAAAGAAAACAAATAAGAGAAATTATTATTGTAATTGTATACCAATTCTTTCTATACAAATTTATCAAATATTCTAAGAAAGGTCTTTGAATTTTTATACTTTTGTTCAATGTTTCAATTTTAAAATGGAATCTTAAAATTAGCTATTATTGTTATTCAATTTTGCTTCAATATCGTCGTTGTTATTATTGATAATTTCCTAACAATATTACTATTCTTCCGATTACTTTCCAATTAAAATCAAATTTTTAGTTCCAAAATTCTTAAAATTAGATGTGATACATTCATTTGATAACACTTACTAGGCATACCATAATTAGTAAAAAAAAAAATGAATTAAATTATGATATCAATAGCCAACTTATCAGAATGGTTATCTTAGCACTAGTAAAAGTTCTTCACGTTTCACCCTAGAAATACCCTAGATCCAATAATATTTGTATGATGCTTAGGTAATCAAATTGGATAACGGAGTAATCACCAATCAAATATCAATTATAAAAATTGCAAATTCTGAAATTAACATTTCAAATTTTAAAGGTCAAACAGTATACATCTGTTATTATTGTGAGCGATCAGTGTAATTTCTGCCTCTCTTTTGAAAATATGCATATTAGAGGACAATAATCTTTAATGAATTTCGGAAATGTTTTTTTGATCACAAAAAAAAGGTTAAAAAAGAAATTTAAAATTATACAACGTGTGTTAATAGAAGCTCTTTATTTTTATTTTTTGCTTTGCAAATACCTTAGTAATAGAAAGTGAAATCTCAGGTAATATCGAGAAAAAAAATTTTCATTACAGCATTACGTCTACTGTCATCAATTGTTATTGCCATTGAATTCGTTGTGTTGCAATAGTTTATCCTTTTCCTTTAAACGATGAGATTTTATTTCAATTTTATCACCCATTATTAATCATATCAATTAGTCTGGTCTTATACATAATAAATCAGATAATCATATTTGATCCATTAATAATAAGAAAAAAGAAGGAAAACGATTAAATTAAATCAACGAAAATAAACCAAAGTGGGAAGGAATGAAAACAAGTGATAATTATTCCTATCTGATATCAGTGCATTGATAATTACATAAAAAAAATATTTTTAATTTCTTATTTCTTACACTTTTTTTTTTCTCTTTTCTTTTTAAATCTAAATTTTAAATGAGAAGAATTTTTTTTATTTCATCATTCAACAACTGCTAAAATTTATTCATATTCTTCCTTATGATGACATTTTCTTGATTGAAATGAATTTCATTTTTTGTAAGTTTAAAGTCTCAAATTCAATGAAAAATTTGGATGCATAAATCTTCTCACAGAAAGAAGTGCTTATTGAGAGGAAAAAAACAAAACAAAACAAAAAATAAAAAATAATAAAATTTACAACGGATATATCGTATAGTTTCGCTGAATATTCTTTGAAAAAAAAAAAAGAAACAAACAAAATAAATTGCTTCTATCACAATTTCAAAACACCGATGGAAGCGGAGAGTAATGGCGGTAATGTTCCACTTGCTTGAGCAGTTTCATAAAAAGAATTCATCGTCCACAATTAATATCGCTTTTCATTTGCCACTATTGTTATCGTCACTATTATTGTCATTATTATTATCATCCTTGTCATTATCAGCAATCATTACTACCATCGTCATCATCATTTATCATCTTAGTTCATCATTTCATCCCTTCGCATTTCACACACCCTTCTTCCGTTCTCATCACCCTCCCTTTTCCTGTCCTCATTTCCGTCTTGTTCATCCTAACCTGTTTTATTTCCACTCCACTTTTTCTCTCTCCTACCTTTCTCAACCTTTTCTCTTTTTTTCTCTACCACCAAGTCTTCATGCGATATTTCACATAAATTTTTACAAAACCATTATCCTTCGTCACTTTTTTTTTTTTTTTTTCTACAATGGAATTCAAAATTTCTTTTTTTTTTTTTTTTTTTGATATGAAAATAAAGGTTTTAAATTTTTAAAATTACCACTAAACAATCTATTGATCTTTTCATTAGTTTATTATACTGCACAATGATCTTTTATCGATTATCATTCATTGCACATCTGTGACAATTGCATTTGACTTCCATTACATATTTTGATATTATTGAAATTTGAAGAATGAAATTTTAAAAACCAGTGACACCTCTTAAAACAAGAAGAAAATAAAAAATTAATTCCCAACTTTATGATTGATAATAAAATAATGCATATCAAAATGGTAGGTTTATTCAAAATAATAATCAATTACTTGCAGTGATCATCATTGATTACTTCGTTTTAAAATACCAAATAATAGATAAAAAATAATTAAATTATTATTCTGAGAAATATGTAATTTATCTGAATTAAAAAAAGGTTAGAAAAATAATATTAAATAGTACCCTTTTAAAATGTTTTTTCCTCTTTTTTTTTTTTTGTTAGCTTAAATATCATTTCAATCATAAAATTTCGAATGAATATTTAGGATTTAAACAATAAAATAGCCAAAGAATAGTTTTATGTAACATTTAAAACTGATTTGGCGGTTCATTGAAAGATTTCTCTGTCCTTGATTAAATCAACGACCTCTCCTTTTCCTTCTCCTTCTTCTTCTTCTTCCTCTTCTTCATCTTCATCTTTCTCTTTCTTCGTCATCATCGTTCCATTACATATCGCGACAATTGGTT